GTGTGTATGGTATAGGAATTGAGAGGTTCAGGAGAGAGAAAATAAAACACAAACCCATACAGACAGTGAAGGACCAGGTCATAAAGAACCTTGTTTATTCTATTAAAATATTTGAATCGAATCCCACGAGTCATCTATGTTCAGACATAGGAATGAGTTGCAGTAAGCACTGAAAATAAATATTGCCATTAATACTAATAAGCCAAAGTATGAGTGTATTTTTCTATTCTTTCAATTCATGTTTTGAGAGTCTCATTCAGCATTACAGTATACTTTCTGTTGAGTAGGCAAAAATAAAATGTCATTAAGGCTAGCATAACTGGTATGTGTTCATAACCCTAGATGTTCCCAGGGATGTTTCTTTCATGTGAAAATCATCCATTCTGTGCACCACAGTAGAAAACAAATATTGAGAAGTAATGTTTTGTATATCAAGAATTTTTGGCATGGAAAGAGAAATGATGTGTTTGATCTTTTTGAAGGATCATTCTAGCAGTGAAGGAAAACTGGACCTACTTAGCAGCATATTGAAATAAATTTAAAAGAAAAGTGGTAAAAGCTAAGGTAGTAGTAACAGAAATTTTATAAAGGTGAAACACATGAAAGCTATTGTGAGGAAAGGGCTAATAGAACTGGACTGAAGGGCAGATTAGTTGTGGAAAGGTAAGAGAGGAACAGTATGTTTTTTTTAATCCATCTTTTGGTGTTGTGTTTAAAGCCACTGAAACCCCATCGGCACAAATCTTTTCAGATATGAGTCAGGGATTAGGTGGCTGAAGACCTTCAGTAGAGTTTAAGGCATTAGGGACTGAGCTAATGGAGATCCAAGGATCAATTCCCCAAAGATGAATAAATGCCTGGTTCAAGGAAAGTTTTCTATGAAAAGGGAATCCTAAGATTGCTGTAGATTCTCCTTTCATGGCTCCAAAAATCCTAAATATCACTGGATATCTAGTCATCTCAGCAATACCAAAAACAAGGTATTTCAATGATGCTGGATTATACATTGAAACCTGTACTCTGGGACACCTGGGTGGCTCAGTCAGTTAAGCATCTGCTTCAGCTCAGGTCATGATCCCAGGATCCTGGTATTCACTCCCCACTGGGCTCCTTGATCAAGGGGGAGTCTACTTCTCTCTCTGCCTGCTGCTCCCCTGCTTGTACACTATCTGTGTCTCTCTCTGCCAAATAAATACATAACATCTTTTAAAAAAAGAAAAAAAAAACTGTACTCTAACCAGCATCCAGTCAGTAAAATTGTCAACCTGCATAGCTAATATTTCAGAGTCTAAAAGTCTTTAAGATTTTATTTACTTATTTGACAGAGAGAGAGAGAGATCATAAATAGGCAGAAAGGCAGGTAGAGAGAAAGGGGGGAAAGCAGGGTCCCTGCTGAGCAGAGAGCCCAATGCAGGCCTCGATCCCGGGACCATAAGATCATGACCTGAACTGAAGGCAGGGGCTTAACCCACTGAGCCACCCAGGTGCCCCAAAGTCTAAAAGTCTTAAGACATTTAGATTCTCAATATGAATGTGACTTAAAAGCCACATGAGAAAAAGGATTAAAATTTGGGTAGCTTATCAGTGTTGACTTTGGAGGGATATGGTTTTATGGATCCTAGCCCCTGGATTAGCTGTGAATAAATGAAATATGATGTACTTATTGATATACCTATTGATATGAGATGATGCAAATAATTTTTTCAATTTCATGAGAAAAATATATGTGAATTTTTTGTCAGTTTGTATTCTGTTTCAGATAATAATTTAAAATTTTTTCTGTCAGTTAAAGAAATCTATTCATTATTTATTCAGGGTAGATTCTAGAACCAACTTTAAATCTATAAATTACTCATTCTCTTCAGCTTAGGGACTTTATGAGGCAGTTTATTCTGTCTTTTAAAAAGGGAGTATTTTGTATTCCTCTGTCAAAACCTAAATTCATAAATGACTAGAAGCAAAGATTATATTTTGATTACCTTGTGGTAAGAATTTAAATTAAAATGACAGACATTAGAATTTATTTTGCCTTAGACAAGTGATACTACTTCTAAATCTGTCAATTTTCAGAGCAAGAAAAAGAAAATAATTTTACCATATGCACATTATTTTTCATGTCACACCAGAAAGTGTCAAATTTTTCAAAATATCCAATTTGCTTTAAAATGTGAAAGATTAAGAACACGTATATAAAAAGTAACACTGCTTTAAAAGGTTTATATGCTCAAAAACACCTGAAACTAAAGTCTCTGCCTCTTTCAAAAAATTTAACTGCTGTTACTGTGTTAAGTTAAAATAAATCTTAAAAATTAGTAAGTTAAATTACATTCAGTTAACTAAGCAATCTATATTTATTAAGAACATGCTATTTGTCTCAGTTCAGGGATGCACTTAATTTCAGCTGGGTTTCCAAATTAGCTACCTATGCCATCCATATCACTCCTTTTTATTTCATCCTTCATGTTGCTTTAGGATATTACTACTGGAACTCAAATCAGATTAGTTTACTCTTGCAAGAGAGTCTTAAGACACTGTGCTCCCATCTTCCAGATCACTTACTTGCTCATATGTAAGGCTGGGAAAAAATTTTGCCCTATCAAACTAGGAATACTTCCCTCCCCTGCATCCTCTTCTCCAGCCTAATTTTTGTTTGTCCATCTCATTTATTTGTCTCTGTTCAGTTTTCCTAACATAAAGCAACAAATATGATAAGTATAACAAATTTTTAAAAATCTGCTTAATTCATGTATATACTATATTTGTAAAAAACAAGTTTTATCATGTTTATTGTGTATAAAACCAGGTCATTCAGCCAAAAATCTCATTTTTTAAAGAAATCATTTAACTTAAGTAACATCACCAGTAGATGTAAACATTTTGAAAAGAAGTCTCACATTGAAAATCACAGTATAGATTTGATATACCATAGTCAAGGGATATAGAATCAAATTAGAGGGACACTATGTTATAAAACATGTACCATGTATTACATAGTAAAATTATCAGTTTTAAGAATAGGTAGCAAATGGGAAAATATAAGGTACTGATTTTAAATAAAAATGCAGTAAGTTCTAAGGGTTAGTAAAAGAAGAGGTCAGAATAGATTCATTTCATCAGAGAGACTGGTGTTGGATATTAAGGAATGCATAGACTATGGTTGAGCACAAATTTTGGGGAAAATATCCAAAGGAAAGATCAAATTACTTTAAAAATAGATGAATATATACCTACAGGTATATATCATAGTCATTAGAAAAAGTTTTATGGCCCAAAATAATTAATCAATTATTTTTCAAATAACTGTTTAATTCAGGAGACAACACTAAAAACTAATAATTGACTATTTCAATAGATTTAACTGGTCAGTTTAGTCAAAATGATCATTAAAATAATGGTGATTGCCAGAGCTTTGGAGGACTGTATGTGCTTGGTGGGTGGAGTGGGATTGGGAAATGTTGGTAACAGAGTACAAACTTCCAGTTAAAAGGAAAATAAGTTTGGGGATCTAATGTACAGTATGGTGATTTTAGTTAACAATACTATATTATGTACTTGAAAGTTTCTAAGAGTAGCTCTTAAATGTTTTCATAAGGAAAAAAAAGGCAACTGTGAGGTGGTAGATGTGTTAATCAACCTTACTGTGGTAATCATTTCATAATATATCCAGATATTATATCATGTTATACAACTTAAACTTATACAATGTTATATATCAATGACCTCTTAATAAAGCTGGAAAAATATTATCAATAGATAAAATCAATATTCCAGTGACAAAATAAATAAAAAGAACATTAAAATGTACCATATATAGAATAGTGTTGCTGACCTGAGCTTAAATGCAACATAATAATTGGTATAAAGATAAATATAATGGTTTACTACTATATTTAAATAGTAAATACATTCAAATGTGTTATTATTATATTAAAAACAAATATAATAGTTTGCAATATAAATGGGCATAAATGACAAATGCTTCCTAGAAAAACTATGTTTTGTGAATTACTAAGCATTTATAATTTTCTTTACTTGTCTTAAATTTTTTTCTGAAACATCTTTAGTGTATTATTTTAATGCCAGTTGACAAGGAAATAAGGATTTGAAATGGCAAAAAAAGTTGAGAACTGTAATAAAAACAGAAAAAAGTAATTTTTACATTATATTGTAAAAATATGTTGCACTAGTAATCTGTATAAAGATTAATGACAAAAACTCCAAAGGAAAAAAATCCATGGACTTTTTCCTTTCACTTACAGATTGTGTCTAATAAATCACTGTAAATATTTACAACCTCCTTTATCTATAAATTTTAGAGCTTTTTTCTTTCTTCCCTATAAAAGTATATGCTTTTATTTTATAGCACTTACTCCAATGAAAGTTCTGGAAAATCCTAGTCTAGCCCGTAATGAAATGCTTTATAGTAAACGTCTAAAACTGCCTAGATAACTTACACATATTTAACAATACATCTTATTATTTCAAAAATATTCTCTCTTTTATAGCTTTTTTAACTATTTTATTTATTTATCTGAGAGAGAGAGAGTACAGAGGGAGAGTGAGAGGGAGAAGCAGGCTCCCTACTGAGCAGGGAGCCCAATGTGGGACTCAATCAGGACCCGGAGATCATGACCTAAGCCAAAGGCAAATGTTTAACTGACTGAGCCACCCAGGCATCCCTTTTCTATAGTTTAAAACAGATTTTGGCTGATAGCAGTCAGCAAAATTAAGGTCACCAAGCAAAAAATGGTATTATCCATGCAAGATTTGTCCAAACAAATCTTTCAAGTCCTAAAATAGGGGAAATAAACTATCTCTTTTTCCATGCCTAAAAAAGAAAAAAAAAATTATTTTCCCAGGGGGGAAAATTTTTGAGAAAGAGCTATGTAGACAAAAAGGCAGTGACAAATAGCAGAAAACAATTTTCACATTCAATATATAGCTGTTCTTTCAAAAGTTTACAGCATTCATTTTTCTAGGATAACAAGATTCAAGGGAAAATGCTTCAGGTAAGGAGATCTCAACTTAAGAATTTACATTAGACCCTACTATTTAAAATTAATTTAATAAATAAAAGAAGAACCAAAGTTTATCTTCTTAATAGAGTCCCAGTGAAACAGGTTAGTGGATAAAAGAGATAACACTCATATTGGTTCCTAATATATAGCACACAGAATTGCGGATTGGCTCAAGAGAATTTAGTCTCTAGATCATCTCCAATAAATTTGAATATCAGAAGCAAACTGCATGCACCTTAGCAATGTAAGATGCAGACCATATTCTTATTTTAATTACATATATCTGTCCATATAGGCATTTAAAAAGACATTAAAAATATTATTAACATGGTTGTACTTAAGAATAGATACCACCTCACACCAGTCAGAATGGTTAAAATTAACTAGTCAGGAAACAACAGGTGTCGGTGAGGATGTGGAGAAAGGGGAACCCTCCTACAATGTTGGTGGGAATGCAAGCTGGTGCGGCCACTCTGGGAAGACAGTATGGAGGTTCCTCAAAAAGTTGAAAATAGAACTACCCTATGACACAGTAATAGCACTACTAGGTATTTACACTAAAGATAGAAATGCAGTGATCCGAAGGACCATGTGCACCCCGATGTTTATAGCAACAATGTCCACAAAAGCCAAACCAATGAAAGAACCTAGATGTCCATCAACAGATGAATGGTTAAAGAAGATACATTATATATATACACAATGGAATACTATGCAGCCATCAAAGGAAAGGAAATCTTGCCATTTGCAACAACGTGGATGGAACTAGAGGATAATATGCTGAGCGAAATAAGTCAATCAGAGAAAGACAATTATCATATGATCTCTCTGATATGAGGAATTTGAGAGGCAGGGTAGAGGTTCGTGGCAGGGGGAGGGAAAAATGAAACAAGATGAAACCAGAGAGGGAGACAAACCATAAGAGACTCTTAATCTCACGAAACGAACAGAGTTGTTGGGGGTTGACAGGTTTAGGGATAGGGTGGTTGGGTTATGGACATTGGGGATAGTATGTGCTATGGTGAGTGCTGTATATTAAGAGTGATAAATCCCAGACCTGTGCCCCTGGGGCAAATAATACATTATATGTTAATAAAAAAGAAAAAAAGATAATATAGCCATATCACAATTATTATGTGGTTTCCAGTCTACTTCAAATAAACAACTTCATCATCATTAATATTAATCAAATGAAATTCAAACTGAATTTTTTTTCTTTTTTAGTTTTCACTCAAGTGAACAATATTCTTAGTCACTCAAAATCTTTTCATAAATATTTTGGTATAAGTATATGTATATTTCTTGGGCTAGATATTATGGTGCAATCTTAATTAATTCTCTACTGTTAGAAAATGGGCACTAGAAAACTTCACCTTCTGTTAAGATACCATTCTTATAGAAGAGCTTCATTAATGCCAGAGTTCTCAAGGGCTAGTAGACCCATTTGCTATGGGAAGGCATTTTTTCCCAATGTTCCTGGACACACTGACAACAAACAGGGAGAGGCCTCATTCTTAATAAATTTTGACTGATGGTTCTCCTGTGCTGAGTGTGATGTTATGGTGCCTATTCCTGACTGGCTCTGTCTGAAATAATGGACCATGTGGATTCAAAGCCTAACATAAATGTGCTGCCATTTTTATTATTAGCAAGAAAGAAAATTTAAATGGAATGTCAGTCAGGTTTTTATGTTTTTCTTTGCAGCTGCAAATTCCAACTAAAAAATCTCTGCCCTATCTATAATACCCAGATTTTCATGAATCTCATAATCCAAATTCAAACATTTCAATTTTCTCTAGTATGATTTTAGGGCCCCTGATGTGGAAAAAAGCTGTGGTGGCAAGTGCTACTTCTGATCCATATAAATGTCATGAATTCCCCCAATAGAGCTCTCCCATTCAGTTTCTTTAAATAGCCCCCAATTCCTAAGAAAATGTTCACTACTTATTACAAAGATTTATATTTATTTGATTCTCACATTTTCTACTGTTGGCTCTAGTATTTCAAATTCCTAGATGGAATAGAGCCAATATAATAGAGGTCATTGGATTTTTAAAAATTCTATCAATTTGCTCCATATTATTAACATACAATTAACACATTTGTTTGATAGACTTGTGTGTCTTAGAGTAATTTAAACATATAGATTGTTTTTGTTTTCATTTATCTGCAAAAAAAAAATATTCAAGTATTTCCTATAAAAAATACTGTTATCTCTTTCTTATTGACTCTTCCCATTAGGTTCAAGGAACCATCTTCCCAGCTCCAAATTTCAATCCCATAATGGATGCCCAAATGCTAGGGGGAGCACTCCAAGGATTTGGTAAGCCTGATCATTTCCATCATCTTTTATTGTAATTTTTTTCACTCTACCTTGTTTTAAGATTGTAATATGGGTGTAAAAATTTGATGTGTAACAGAAGGCAAAAGCAGATTAAAACAAAAAGCTGGGCAAGGAACTAGAATAAGAAGAAAAATAATAGAAAAGGACAATCGTGGTGAACCTATTTGCTCTCTCAATTGCAAGTATGATCTTGACATGTTTTTCCCTTAAATCCTTAAATGTCTCATCACTAACTACATTAAATGAAATCCCAAACCAAAAATCATCCTAGGAAAAAACATCTTTCCTTGCCCTTGTTTACTAGCCATTTATTTACTTGTTTGTTCATTCGTTTGTTTGTTTGTTTGTTTATTTATTTATTTGGAGGGGGTACTTCCATTTCCAGCCAAATCAGACTTTCTGCTTTTCCCCAAGTTGGATCTGTGTTTCCTCATCTCCATAAAACTAGTCCAATAATCCCCGGCCTGGAATGCCATTTTCTTCTCCTTTTACTTTGCATCCAAATTATTTTCAAGATTCCGTTCAAATAATAATTCCTTTTTGAATTGTACTTTGGGCACTCCAAACTCAACCAGCTGTGCCAACGCCCAAGGCACCCTCCCCTGCACTCCTGTGTCACCGATCTCATTTTCATTGTGCTTGTCCTTTTGTGTCACCGCAGACTTCAGGGTGCTCCCAGAGCATGGAGTCTGGCATGCAGGTGCTTAATAAATGGATGTTCAATGAATAAAACTAGAGTTCAGAAAAGGAATGTAGAGATAAGGGAGGAAAACTGTTGAGTTCTTAAAAAAAAAAAAAAAAAAAAGATTTAATCTTTAAGAAATGAAATGGAGCTGGTAAGCATCCATCTGTTTTCCTAAACTAAAACTTGTTAGAAGACTTCTGGTGAGCATGAAGATAAACACTGAAATTTTGCATAAAGCATGCAAACCCTTTTATAAGAAAGCAAGCTCTTAACTTTGAAGACAAGATCGCCTTTATGAGAACTATACTGGGTATGCCTGTGTATGTGTGTATGTGAGCACGAACACATGTATGCATGCTCATTTTCATGTTTTATTCACTAACAGAATCTCACAGGAAAACAGTAAAGGACTTTAAACATGCTCTCTAAAGCTGACTTTAGGAGTTTGTGATGCTTTCATGCCTTTTAAAATCTAGTCACCACTAGAAAAATAGAGGCAAGTTAACAAAAAGTTATGGATTAACTTTGACTTCAGGAGAATAATTTTTGCTTTAAAACTATACATCAATCTATTCACTGAAAAAAAATTTCTTTGCTCCAGTTTCAATTCTCCCGTCATAGCAACATTAGGGTCCGAATGTGGATTCATTTTGACGATTTTAAGTTTTTGCTTGTCAGTGTTTTAGACTGAAGAATTTCAGGGGGGTTAGGGCTTGATTGCATACTGTCCACTCCAGCATTGCAGAGCCAGAACACATCTCAAAATGCTCTGAAGTCTATCCATCCTGATGACCCTGGCGAAGTGTAACTTAAAAAAATAATTGTTAATGTTTTCCTTGGCTACTATGAGGGATTTTTTTTATAGTTTTAGTGAGATATAATGGATATCTAACATTGTATAAGTTTAAAATGTAAAATGCGATAATAGGACGGGTGTGTGTGTGTGTGTGTGTGTGTGTGAGTGTGCGCGTGTGTGTATACAGTGAAGTTATTAACACAATAAAGCTAGTAACATCTCTTTACCTGACAAAATGATAATTGTTGTTGTTATTATGGTAAGGATATTTGGGATTTACTCTCTCAGCAACTTTCAAGAATACAACACAGTATTGTTAACTACAGTCACCATGCTGTGTATTATTAGATCCCCAGAACTTATTCCTCTTACAATTGAAAGCTTGTACCTTTTGACCAGCATATCCTCATTTCCCCACCCCTCAGCCTCTAGTTGTTTCTATGAGTTCAGCTGTTTTAAATTCTACATATAAGTGATATCATACAATATTTGCCTTTCTCTGACTCATTTCACTTAACATAATGCCCTTGGGATTTATCCATGTTTTCTCAAATAGCAGGGTTTTCTTCTTTTTTATGACTGAATAATATTCCACTGTATGTATATGTGTGTGAGAGAGTCACATTTTCTTTATCCATTCATCTGTTGATGGAACTTTAGTGGTTTTCACTACAGTGAATATGGAGGTATAGATATCTTTATGAGATAATGAATTCATTTCCTTTAGATAAATATCCAGAAGTAGAATTGCTATATCATTCTGTTTTTAATTTTTTGAAACACTTCCACACCGTTTCCCATTGTGGCTATACCAATTTACATTCCTACCAACGGGAATTCCCCTTTCTTCATATTTCTTGTTTTTTTGATAATAATCATTCTAACAGGTATAAAGTGATATTTCATTATAGTTTTGATTTGCTTTCCCCTAACAATTAGTGATGTTGAGCACATTTTCATGTACTTATGGGCCTTTTGTATGTCTTCTTTAGAAAAATGTCTATTCAGGTTCTTCACCATTTTTAATTAGATTATTTGTTTTCTGCTATTGAGTTGTATGAGATTCTTATGTATTTTAGATATTAATCCCTTATCAGGTATATGATTTGCAAGCATTTTCTCCCTTTCTGTAGCTTGCTTTTTCTTTCTATTGTTTCTTTTTTTTTTTTTTAAGATTTTCTTTATTTAACAGACAGATCACAAGTAGGCAGAGAGACAGACAGAGAGAGAGGAGGAAGCAGGCTCCCTGCTGAGCAGAGAGCCTGATGCGGGGCTCGATCCCAGGACCCTGGAATCGTGACCTGAGCTGAAGGTAGAGGCTTAACCAGCTGAGCCACCCAGGCGCCCCTCTTTCTGTTGTTCCTTTTTCTCTTCAGAAGCTTTCTAGTTTGATGCTGTAGTTCCACTTGTTGATTTTTTTGACTTAGCTGCTGTATTTTTCTTACAAAAATCAGAAAGCAAAAAAATACTCTAAAGCAAATGAAAATGAGAGTTTTAATAATAGTTGTCTTACGTTGTATAAAAACTCACCAATCACTCTAAAAGGGAATAACCTTCAGTTATAGTCCTTAATAGTTCAGTCCAATATCTAATTCCTTACCATTAAAAGCTACTTTCTCAATCTGTGCAGCCTTAGAATAACTGTGTTTATTTTGTCTCAATTAACATATGTAATTTCCAAGTCATCTGTGTGAGATGCTGGACAACTGGAACTATTTTTAACCTACATTCCTAATTCTTGACAAAGCTACATACAAGTCAAAATTAATTTTTTTGGAACATTCAGTGCTATTTAGAATGGACATTTTTGCTTTATTCCTGATCTTTTCCCCCTTTAAGTAAAGTTCCCTATAGGTTTTGCTGAGAGTTTTCATCTTGAACAGGTGTTAGATTTTGTAAAATGCTTTTTCTCCATCTGTTGATACAGTCAACAGTTTCTCTTTTTTATTCTATTGATGTGATGAATTATGTTAACTGATTTTTCAAATGCTGAGATAAGACTTGCACACCTGAAATAAACACCACTTGGTCATAATGCACGATTCTTTCTATACAGTGTTGAATTCAATTTGCAATTTTTTGGAAGAATTTTCATATCTGTGTTCATGACAGATATTGGTCTATAGTTTTCTTTTCTTGTAATGCTTTCTCTGATTTTGGTATTAGAATAATAAAAACTTCAGAGAATGATTTAGGAAGTATTCCCTCTGCTTCTATCTTCTGGAAGAGACCATAAAGAAACAAACAAAAGAATCATATAATTTTATTCTTTAAAAGTTTGGTAGAGTTCACCAGTGAACCTGACAGGGCCAGGTGTTTTCTGTTTTGACAAGTTTAACTTGTGTTTAACTTCTTTAATAGATATAAGCCTATTCATATGTTTATTTCTCTTTGTGTAAGTTTGGGTAGATTGTGTTTTTGAAGAAATTAATCCATTTCATCTATAGTATCAAATTTATGAGTACAGAGTTGTTCTTAGTATTCCTTTCTTATCCTTTCATATCCATAATATCTGCAGTAACATACCCTCTTTTATTTCTGATATTAGTAATTGTATCTTCTCTCTCTCTCTCTTTTAGTTAACTTGACTAGGGACTTATCAATTTTATTGATTTTTTTCAAAGAATAAGTTTTCAGGTAAATTGATTTTTCTCTATTAATTTATTGCTTTCAGTTGAATTAATTTCTACTCTAATTTTCATTGTTTACTTCCTTCTGCTTACTTCAGACTTACTTTGTTCTTTTATTCTAAATTTCCTAAGGTGGAAGTTTATATTAGTTAATTTAGGTCTTTATTTCCCACATATTTATTCAAGGACATAAGTTTTCCTCTACTTATTTCATTGCCTCATTTAATAAATTTTAATAGCTTATATTTTCATTTTAATTAATTTTTTTTTAATTCTCTTGAGCCTTCTTTGACCCATGTATTATTTACAAGTGTGTTTTTCAATCCCCAAGAATTTTAGGGTTTTCCAGCTATCTTTCTGTTATTGATTTCTGGTTTAATGACATTCCAGTCTAAGAACATAATTTGCATGGCTTCTATTATTTTAAACTGGTTAAGTGCTGCCTCCTGACGGTGCATGGGAGAAGAATGAGGCACAAACAAGTCAGCTGAAAGAGAATGGGAGCAGGGGATGACAGTCTTTTCTACTCCCATTCTCTTGCAGCTGACTTGTTTGTGCCTCATTCTTTTCCTGTGCGCCATGTTTGTGCCTCATTCTTCTCCCGTGCGCCATCAGGAGGCGGCAGTTAAAGTGTATTTTATATGAAGTCTATCTTAGTGTTACATGTAAGTTTGAGAACAATAGATAATCTGTTGTTTTTGGATGAAATATTCTATAGATATGAATGATATTAAGTTGACTGATGATGGATGATGATGTTGACCAACCATATTCTTATAAGTTTTCTGCCTGCTGGATCTGTCCATTTATGAGAAAGAGGTATTAAACTCCAGATAAAATATTGGATTCATCCATTTCTCCTAGCAGTTCTATCAGTTTTGGCCTCATGTGTTTTGATGCTTTTTTGCTGGGCTCACACATATAAGATTTATATCATCCTGGAGAATTGACCCATTTACCATTATGTGATGGTTCTTTTTATCCCTGATAATTTTCCTTCTTCTGAAGTCTTTTATGTTAAAATTAATAAAGCAGCTCTGTTTTTTTCCAATATGTTAGCATAGTATATCTTCCTCTATCCCATTATCATCTATCTCAGTGCTATTCAGATATAATTTGAAATTTTAGAAATAATTATTTTCTTGCTTAGTAAACCCCTTTTACCTATTTGACCATATAGTCAATGTTTATTATTCACAGATTCCACATTTGTCGATTTGTCTACTTGTTAAAATTCATTCATAACACCAAAATCAACATTTGCCTTGCTTTCATGGTCATTAACAGATGTATGGAGAGACATGTAAACTTTGAGTTACCAGAGTGCATATTCCAGCTGAGATTAGACAAGATGATGTTCTGTCTTCTTGTTTCAGTTCTCATACTATAAATGTGTCCTTTTTGTGGTAAATTTAATGCTATATATTTTTTTGTAGGTCTATATTTTTTGTTGATGATTATGTTCTTTAAAATGCCTCCCAAATGTTGTGCTGAAGTGCTGTCAAGAGTTCCCAAGCACAAGAAGAAATATTATTGAGAAGATATGTACATCAGCTAAGCTTCATTCAGAAATAAGTTTTAGTGCTATTGGCCATGTTAATATAGTACATAGTACATCCAGAAAAAAAGATAAAATTCACTGATCTATAGATGAAGCTGTCCAGAAAAATGCTAAAGTAACATCTGTTCTATGTTATAAAGCTATGGAAAAGCAGCTAAATTTGTGAGTTCATGAGATAATAATTGATAATATAAAAAGTAGTGAACAGCTCTCTTTTGAAAGTAGTGATAGATGGCTTGCATGTTTCAAAAGGTGATACAGCATAAAAACTGTTAAACTTTTAGCTGAACAAGTTCTGTCGATCAGTAGGATATAGAATACCTCCTTAAGGTTATTCTTTAAAAATATCTCCTAAATTTTATACAGGAAAAAAACATGTGAGAAAAAGACAGAATTCAATGCTGAGGAGAGAGGCTTGTTTTCATAAGGACATTGGCAAACAAACATACATGTTGTAAATGGCATTTCTATTGACAAAAATATTGTGACCAAAGGTTACAGAAATCTAACTGTATATTCCCCTGCAAAGCAATAGCTCAATATCTATTAATTCAATGTTCATAACAACTTTGTAGAAAACTACTACAAATAACAAGAATCAACTGTGTATCAAAGAAGCCTATAATATTGCTACGGTTTGTTATACCAGGCTTTTCTGTTAAACCAGGTAATAAAAATTATCTAGAAATTCTTGTCAGAATACAACAGGATAGGAAAGAAAAATTTAAAACGATTGTAAAGAAGAAATCAAAATTTCTATTATGTGCAGAGTATATCATTTGTATCTAGAAATCTAAGCTAATCAAATAAAATGTTATTAAAAATTGTGAGTACAATAATTTTTCTGAATAGAAGGTAATTTTATGTTTATAAATTTTTTTACAAATTCAGTATCATTTATTTAATTTAGCAATTATGTGTGAAGAAACAAAATAAAAACAAAGTAAATGTCAACATACATGAAAATATGAGTATTTTTTTAACAAAATTAAGTCTCTTGCCATTTATAAAAACTCCACAAACCTTTACTAACTCTTTCAGAAAAGAAAAACACAAATAATTTAGCAGATAGTGACAAAAAAACAACTTTTTAAAATTGATTCCTAAATTTAGTTATTTTAATTAAAAGTTCTTAACAAAGTTTTGAGATCCATATCAAATTAATCTGAAATATCCTGGTAGAATAAATGAGCAAGAATTGCTATGAACACTGAAAAATAGAGATTCAGTCAGAGAGGTAAATTGTAGATAATCCCAACAGAACAACACAAAAAACAGGAGAGTGTAGTAATTACATAAATGTGAAGACAGTAAAAATGACAATGGATATAACTGAAAAATCTTCTGTTTATTTTTTTTTTAAATCTTCTGTTTATTATTAAAAATATCTTCCCTTTGGAATTCCCATCATGCAGTTAACAGACTCCATAGAACTATTTAGTGTCCTTTGTGTCCAGGCCATTAACCAGCTAGCTCCAGGGCAATACGTTGCTCTATGCCTCTCACAAACCATAAATCTCAGTGTTTGGAGCCAACTCTATCCTCCTTCCTTCCATTTTATACCTACAGATCATTCCTCTCACCTATGTAAAACATCCTGCTCTCCCTTTTGTTTCATAGGGCATAGTTATGTATGTAAATCCTGGTGACTAGCCTTCATTCACTGGATATTTCAGTACCTGACTCAGCTTTCCTAAAAACCTAAGGGCATCCAGGATAGCTTTAATTTCCAAAAAGATGATCTGCTTAATATCCTAGCCATTCAATTCCTTTTTCTCTTCATTAAATATCTACTTTTGTCAAAGAAAATTGTACTATACAGAATTAAACAGGCAAGGAAGACTTTATTCAAGATAATTGCAACAGAAATCAAGACTTTACAATAGAGGAAAGAACTCAGTTCCTCTGAAACAAATGGCAAGAGAGTTTTTAAGGACAGAGGGAGGTGGGGGACTAGTTGAAAAGTACTGGAGAATACCGGGAGTTGGGGGTGTTTGTCAATGCGATTAGGACATCTGTGTTTGCTAATTAGTTCTTAAGGAAGTTGGGATCCTATCCTCCCACAGAGACTAGGAGGTAGGGATTCTATCTTTCTTGATGATTATATTTCAAAGAGATGGCTCCCAATCTTTGGGGAAAGACATTTCTGGATTGTAAAACTGGCAAGTGATTGGCAGATTTATATCCCAAAAGAGTAAAGAAAAATTTACAATTGCAAGTTTTCCAAAGTAAATGCTCTGAGAAAAGGGGGATCAAAGGCATTCAGTCAGAAAGAAACCTGTCTAAATTTTAGTCAAGTTGAGGGAAATGTTAAGGCCTTCTTGGTCAATCTACTATGACTATAATTAGAGCTAAATTTGTTTAAACTTGTTGCATATTTCAGTGTTATACCAGTACAGTGTGTTGGCATATAAGGAAATAAAGGCCTCATACATCCAGAATCAGCCTTGGTTATAGGAAAAAGAGTCCACATTCCACGCCAATAAGAGGTTCACACAGTCCCTCAGAAGGTTACACAGCCCTTGTACTTTTATACTTTCCTTCTTCTGGAGGTTTTGAACTGTAGCTGTTATTTTTGTCTTAATTTATCTTCATTATAATTTACATCTCCTTAACTGTAAAATAAGAAAGATGTTGTACCCATTTAAATACTAATCAGCTTGAAGGTCAAGGAAGCCTTTTCTGGTGGGTTGGAGAGGTGGTTGAAGAAAGACCATATTTTTTATTCTCCCGTATTTTTTAGTTGGATCTTTTTAAAGGAAAATCTGTAGGCATAGCACCAAAATGAGAGATAGGAGGAAACTAGCCTTCATCAAGTGTTGCTCTGTGATTTCCAATTTTAGTTAAAATTGCTCACTGCTTTAAAGTACCATCAGGGATAATGCTTGCACCATAGTTTTTGATCCTTAGATAATGGCTTCTTCCAAACTACAGAGTAGCAACTTTACTAATCTTCAAATATTATTCTTTTCCAGGCTGTGACAAAGACATGCTGATCGACATTCTAACTCAACGCTGTAATGCACAAAGGCTGATGATTGCGGAGGCATACCAGAGCATGTATGGCCGGGTAGGGTCTCTTCATCGTGACCTGTTCTAGGGCAAACTCCTGGGAAATCACAACCCTTTAAGAAAACAGATACTGTTATTCTTTTCAGTCTCATAGATTACAAAGATCTCAGACTCTAATGTATGTCAGAAACAGTTCCTATGCCTCTAACATGTTCCAAGGAATGTAAGAAAGACGTATCTATGTGTGAGGCATGTTCACACTTACAGTTACTCCATCAGTCCTTTCTCAAAAATCATTCAGCTTCATAAAATGAAAGTTCTGATAGTCTTACACTGCTAGTTGGTCCAATTAGGCTAAAAATGTTGCACTGGAAACACCCGTGTCAAGCTTTAGGGAAGGAATAGAAAGGGCTAATGATCACTAGGTCAAAAAAATAAGATCTTTCCTGCAATTCTCCACAGGTCTTCACCTAACTCTCAACCAAAGTGAATTCTGTACTAGCTTTTCTTCTCACAGCATGCTGTTATAGAGACCATTAAAAAAGAATGGCAGTTAAAAATAGTTTAAGGCAATAAAACTATCCATAGTGCTTTAAAGTAATCACATTCTAATTTCAAAGCAAGTACCATTAAAGATTCCTTTCTTTTGTTATGCATTTAAACCACAGATTCAGAACAAAAACTCTTCAGGCCAAAAGGGCTTGAAATAGCAATTACTTTGTCAACTGAGCATTATTGATGAAACACTATCATAAAACTTTCTCTGTAGAGTTAGCTCTTATAAATTCACTCCATCTCTAAACCTCAGTCTTTGAACAGCTATAATACATGAAATAAAGGGTAGTCCTCTGTTGTAGAATAAATTAATAATTGAAGATACCACTACTAGTTATATTAGTTGAATTTAGGCATAGAATGAAACCAGTTTGGTTTTTTTTTTTCAGGTAAACTGCTACCGTAGCTTATGTTCCCATGATAACAGTGCTAGTTTTCTTTTGAAAGAGAACATAAAAACTATAAAAGTTCTAGCATCAGTAATCTAATATTGTCTAATATGCATATTGTTACAAGAGTGGTCATTTTTCAGTATTTTTTAACTCAAAGGTTTGCATACATCTTTGCATTTTATACATCAGGTTAATTTAGGTTGAAGGCATTACTTTATTTTAGTCTACAAAATTACACTAAAGCAGATTAAAGCATTAAGAAATGAAGTACTTAAACTCAAGGAATAAAAAATCTATTGAACAATTTATACCCTCAAAGGTCTCAAAGTTTGTTAAACTCTACCTCTTCTGAATAACCCATATTGTGTGGAAAAGTTTGACTAATAACACTATCACACCAATGGAAGAAAATGAGTCATGCTGGCCCCTTTCCTCTAAAATACCTTTGTCATACAGTCTTCAAGCCTTGAAAGTTATCTTTCCTCTCACATTTCTCTCTTTTTCCCTCACTTATACCATCTTGATTCATTTGGTACCCAGACTAACGTGAAACTTGTAACTGGTACCTCCTACTTTGTGCTTTCCCGTTCTCATCTATCCCCACGCTGAAGCCAGAATGATTCCAAATCTAGATTTCTGCTTTCCTCACTCGGTCCCTGAATGTTTATCATATTTTTGCCTCACAAATATCCACAAGTCCATGGAATAAACCAATACCTTCCCAGCGCATACAAAGCTTACCTTGTTTCTGTTCTCCATTTTATTCCCTTTCCCCCTTCTTCACACAGTTCTGAACTACCTGTACTTCTACAAATTAATTGTACCTGCTCCCTTACCTTTAATCAGGGTGTTCCATCTACTACCATGTCCTGACTCTCCCCTCCTCAAGCTGCATACCTGCTCATCTTCCCAGACACTGTACACTTCCTCACACCACTAACCTTAAACAGAATGGAATGGACTTGGGCTGCTACTGCATTCTTTACGTAACTTCCCCCTCAGTGCCTAATGACACATTAGTGAGCTTGTTTATATGTGCTTCCCTTACCAGAATATAAATCCTCAAAAGGTGGACTGCATTTCATCCAGAAAGTTTAGCACAAGTATCTATCTAACATGCCAAGATTGTTTAATTATGTTTGTTGAATGACACTGTGAAGGTATAGTTTTTGTTGCTCTTATGAACCCTTTCTGCTGTCACACTCACCCTCTGCCCTGGGCTAGGTACTTTCTGCTGGGGTCCCAGAATCCTCTGTGCATACTGCTACCATGGCCTTGACACACTAGGTTGTATTGGTTTACTTTTTTCTCTTGATGACTAGACCGTAATCCCCTAGAAAATCAGGGACCAGATTATTTGCTACTATCCCTCCAGAGCTCAGTCCAGGGTCTAACATAGAAGACAAATTTCATTATAGAATAAGGGAATCTAAGAAATTATATCTTGTCTATTTAAATTTTTATTTTAAAAAGTGGAGGGGACATCCACTTATATATACTCAAGTATTATCTACTTTATACTTCTGTTATCTTCTGCTATCTTTCCCTTTCTGTGGTGAGAGTTTATAGATTTCCTATAAGTTAGTCTTTGATATTTTTTATTTTTTATTAATATGGATAATTAAGATTTGACAGAATTTATTTATGTATTTATTTTTTTGGTTGCTGAGCAAAGTGCAAGTCTAGGCATGCTTCTTAAATACTTATTTCTCGGTATTTTACATTAATGGAGAGCTGCTAAATGTCATCAACTCTTCCTCACCCAAAGCACACTAATCCCTACACTAAAATGAAAAACCTTTTGGAATGCCTCTGACTGACATATTTATCAACATAATTAACGAGGTCATTCCTGATCTTCCTCACCAAAGTAAAGTACTTTACTGTAGCCTTGCAGTGAAACCAAGGGAACAATGCAACACCTCTGGGGCTAGGTGGGGAAACTACATATCTGATAAGTTTAGCAATTAGACAATGATTCCTGAATGGGGTTCAAATTCAACCTTGCAGTAATTTATTCTCTCAGTGTTCATCCAAAACAGGGATAATCAGCTCTGAAATATCCTAGCATCTGGAATTCATTAAAATTGTAGTGTTGGTTATATAATTTAGTGCAGCAGCTAAGTTGCCCTGAGTCACACGAAGTTAGAACTTGAACCAAGGTTATCTGACTCTAAATTATGTCTTTCAAAGTTTCTCAATATCTTAACTGAATAAATACCAGATATAACAAAAGCAGATACCTATCTATACTGTTAACTCTCTCATATTCTTCAAGGCTTTGCTCAATGTCAGCTACTCAGGAGGACCTAATCTGATTGCCCTGTTTAAAACTGTCACCCACCCCAAAGCCTATGCCAGCATCCCAGATCCCTTCCCCCGTTCTTTACTTTTTCCTATAACACTCACTGCCTTCTAACATACTACATAATTTATTTATATATAATTATTATTTATTTTTCGCCACCTCTCCCTAACATAAGCCCCACGAGGAGAGTAATCTTTGTTTGGTTCACTAGCATGTCCAAAGCACTCATGACAGTGGCAGGCACATAGTTGGTGTATCCCCTCAAAATTTAAATGTTGAAGCCCTAATCTCCCAAAGTAACTGTGTTTAAAGATAAGGCATTGAAGGAGATGATTAAAGTTAAATGAGGTCATAAAGGTGGGGCCCTAATTCTATAGGACTGGTGTTCTTAAATGAAAAGAGATACCAGCAGAGTGTATGAACAAAGGAAAGACCATGTGACCATATAAGAAGACAGCCATCTGTAAGCCAAAAAAAAGATGCCTCACTCGATAGCAGCCCTGCCAGTACCTTGATCTGGGACCTCAGACTGTAAGAAAATAAATTTCTTTGTTTAAACCACCCAGTATGGTCAGCTGTTAGGGCAACCTGAGCAGACTAATGCAGCTGACACTCAATACAGAGATGTGGGGAGAAGTTTAGATGGCAGAAGAGTACAGGTACCCTAAGCTTGCCTCATCCCTCAAACACAGCTAGTTAAATATCAAATCATTTTGAATACCTAAGAAATTGATCTGAGGACTGAGAAAGCAAAACTACACAACTAGAGATAGAAAATCAGCCACATCGTGGAAGGCAGGAACAGAGGAGAGTTGATTTGGGGGAGAAGAGAATCATAGGTATTGTGAAGGGGAGAGAGCCCTGATCACAGAGAAGTGAGAGAGAGAGAGAGAGAAAGCACACACAGGGATTGCACAAGAAAAATTCTTCCCTGAAACCATTGACTGGAAAAAGGAAACTGACTATCTACCACAAGTTTTTATAAACAGTGGAACACAAAGTCTGAAGTCTTGGTGGTCCACCCCATCTCTAGAGTCATGCCCAATAGGCTTGGCTATGCTCTGGTGGGAAAGGAATGTGGAGACCTGCAGTTTCCCTGCTTGGAATGCATTTGGGAGTAGTGGCATAGCCTCTCTAGGGACAAAAACACTGGTGGTGCCAACATGCTACCCAGTTCCTTATCAGAGGAACAAAAACACCAACTGGGACAACAAACCCTGGTGCTGGCTTTTTGGCTACACTTTACCATAAACTTAGAATGGTTGAGGGCTGCCTGGGTGGCTCAGTTGGTTAAGCATCTGCCTTTGGCTCAGGTCGTGATCCCAGGGTCTTGGGATTGAGCCCCACCTCTGGCTCCCTGATTACTGGGGATTCTGTTTCTCCCTCTCCCTCTGCCCCCCCCCAACTCATGCACTCATGCTCTCTCTCTCTTTCTCTCTCAAATAAGTAAATAAAATATTAAAAAAACAAAACACAAAAACTTTGACAGTTGCATGGTTGCACAACCGAGTTCTGGGACAAACCGGCACCAGCTACAGTGGAACAAGACCTTCCCCCCAGGGGATCAGCATGGGTCCCTACCCCACAGATCTCTAAAATTTGGAGTTGTGAAACTCAGCTGTGTGCCCGAGATAAAACACAGAAGTACTGTCTGATATGGCCAGTAGGTAGACAGCTCCGATGCAGGCAGGGTGAAGGCAGGGGTCTGACAGCAGCCAGAGACACAAGAGAGGTACTTGTTTGATCTTCTGTGAGGGCATTCTGAAGAACAGCAGATGCAAACTCCCTGCTCTGTGGACAAGA